GGGGCTGCTGCAAAACTGCCCCTGCACCCTCGATGGGCATTGCACGCCTGGCACGGCACAGCACGGCACGGCACCCACCGCTGCCATCCGCTGCTTCTGGCAGCTCCTCTGGGATTTTTATCCATCACCCATTGCCGGGGCCTGATCCTGCCTCACAGAGCTGCACAGGGCTGGGGGAAGAGGTGTACAAAGTCCCCACCCTGGTGAATAAAGTCCAAGGGAGGGAGCCGAAAAAACCACCGAAATAAAAGCCTCCTGGCAGCAGCAGAGAGCAGTGACTCATCCCACAGGCAGCCTCCATGACTGCATGGGATGCAGGCAAGCAGCAACGAACCCCACGTGCATCCCCAAAACTTCAGGGTCCCCTCCCTTGGGAAAGGCAGGGAGGGATAGCCCACGGCACATCGGGAAATCCCAGCCCCAAACCACCCTGCTTCAGGTCTCGACCGCTCTCCCATCCTCACGATGCTATTCCAGCCCGGGGAACATCCTTCCAGCTATTTCCCTCCCTGTAGGACAGGAGCAGAACGCCTCGCTTGAGCCTAGATAAATTAAACCCATCGCATCTCTTTGTCCAGCAACCCTGTAATTTCTTTAAAGGCAGCAATGGGGTTTGCCTGGGACGATCTGTGCTTTACGAACCTGCACGGCTCGCTCCCTCCCCGCTTTCGTAAGCGGCTGCAGATGGATCAGAGCTGTGGAAGCACCAGCCTGGCTATAGTCGAGGTGGTGACTCTTTTTAAGTCTCTCTTAAAAGGCACTTGATTTTTTATTTTTAAATCACCCTTTGGGTGGAAATATTTCACACTCACACAGTCCAAAAGTGAACGGAGTAAATTTGAAGGGGAGAGAAGAGAAAGAGCCCTCGGGGGTTGGAACAGTGGTATCCAAAGAACAGGCGGGAAACCAATTTTTTTTTTTAAAAAAAAAAAGGAAAAAAAATGTTCAATAAGCAAAGCTGCCTCTTGAACCACAGCAGGTCACAGGCAGGAGCAGGGGCAGATTTCCTCGACCGTGTTACAAGTAGCCCATTGTGGAGCTGCCTGGCTGTAAACCCACAGCTCTCCCCTGCCCGCGCCGCTGAGCTGCCTTTGATCTGGAAGCCGGGGCAATTAATAGCAGGCAGTTTCACTTCCTGGGTTTCATGCAGCAAGCCCGTGTTGCAATGCAAAGCTGCAAACAGTTGGCAAGTGCCATGCTGGCTTGGCATTTTCTTTCTTTTTATTTTTTTTTTTTGGTAATTCGAGGTGATGTTGCCATTAGTCACCGTTCACAAGGGAAATTCATTCTCACAAAAATTCAGATTTTGGCCCCAGCCTGACCTGCTATGACCTACTGACTGTACCCAAACATACAGTGCCTGGTGCCATCCAAAAAGGGACATCAAAAAGGCTGAGAAATAGGTCTGAGAGAGCATGGCACATTGTCTCCCCAGATGCTTTTATAGTTTGGGTGCCCAGTGACTGCACCACACAGCCTCAGTCCCCCTCCCGAGCGGGGCAGAGGCTCTGGTGGCACTGTGGCCCCTCTCCAGGACCCCCCATGGGCATCGAGGGCCATGTGAGGAGGGGGCTCACTGCTCGCCCTGGCACAGAGACCAGCCAGACCCCAAATCTTTCCATCTTTGGGTGAAGCCAGCAACACGAGGGGTGGGAACCCCAGTGAACCCAGCACAGGGAGCACATGCCCAGGAGCATTTCTGGGGAGATGCCGCACGTTGAGCTGCTCTGTGTTGCACTGCTTGAAGGAAACTCCCACCGCCCGTCTGCGCAACACGGGGAGCACCCTGACACCAAACCCCCCAAACGGTCTGGGTGCTTGCAAGCCAAAAGGAGGAGGGCCGGGGCCGGGGGAAAGGCTGAGCCCCGGGGGCTGCAGGGCTCGGGGTGCGAGGGGGTGAAGGCAGCGCACCCCTGTCTGCAGAGGCATGCGGGAGCCTTCGTCCCCCTCCCTGGCCAGCAGCTCCTCTTCATCCTGCAAGAAGCTGCCTCTGCAGCTCTGCGTGGCGGGGAGCGTGTGGGAAGCGGCACAACCCCCAGAAGGGCCGTGTGCTAATTAAATAAAGATAATGAGGCTGAGAATGAGATGCCAAATCAATGCTGTGGCAACTCAGGACTAGAGCGCCAGATACCAGCCTGGCGTATCGCATTACAAAGCATGCCAAAGAAACTGCCTTCAGCCGGGCGGGATGAGCCCTCGGCTCCCGAGGGACCGGGATACAAGCTGCATTGTAACAGGTCTGAATGCGAGGTCTAATCCTGGCTCTGGATGGAGATAAAGAGGAGGAGGAGGAGATCTTCAAAGGCCACTGAAAGTCTGGGGAAAGGGGGAGATTTACAACAGGGCTTATCCCATCTAAGCAGTAACTGGGTATTGTTATTTATTAAAATGCCATCTGGCACTCCGGAGCGCTCTTTGCCTGCGCCGTGAAGCCTCGGCAGCTCCCCGGGGCGGGAGTGCCGAAACCCCAGCTCCACGGGGCCACATCCGCACCTCTCCCCACGCCAAGAAATCACGCTTCTCGGTGGTGCTGAGCTGCCCAAGTGGGGCAAGGGAACATCCAGCCGAGAGAGAAAAGGGAGCTGCGGCTCCGGCTTCTCCTTCAGCTGTTTCCACTTAAAACACACGATCATATGGCGGAAAATCTGATCCTACAAGCGCAGCGCAACTTTCCCAGAGAAACGTGAGGACACCGCCACTTCTGCCCAGCGAGAGGGCAGGATGCTGGATGGAGACGTGCCCGTGGCTCAGTGTGGCTTCCCTGTGGGCTGGGGAAGAAGCTGGGGCTGGTGGGGGGAAATCAAAGGGGCTGGGAGAGCTGCTGCGTGGGTGTCTACCCAGCTGGGAGATGTGGAGAGGGGATCTCATCCCAGGCTGCAGCAATGCTCTGAGGAGCCCTTGGTCCTGCCTCAGAATGTCAACTGGAAACGGTGTCACCTTGTCCCCAACCTTGCTGGGAAGGAGCAAACATCCCGCACATCCTAAGATCTCCCAGCCCAGGCAAGAAGGAAACCATCTCCCCAGGAGCATGGACCACAGCACATGCTTCTTGCCCAGTGAGGGATGCCTGGCACTGGTGTCTGTCTGCCCCAGGAGAAGGCTGCTCACAAGACTGATGCAAGGGGCTGGGGCCACAAGCCACCTGCCCTCAAAGTTGACACTGTGCTGGCACCAACGGTGCTGGAGGCTTTGGTCTTCCAGCAGAGCCATGGCCCCACGGAGGCTGAGCTCTCCCTGACCAGCCGCACGGCTGACAGCTCCACCGCTCCCAAAGCCAGCGGAGAGGCCGGCCTGGCCCGAGCCCCACGTCACGGGCCGTCCCAAATCGCATTGTCTGTGCCAAGAGCAAAGGGCCGGCGCCAAGCATCCCGTCATCGGCGAGCACAAGGCATCCAGCGCTGGGGGCCCAGCCAGCGTCCTGCTCCCTGCGCAACGCCTCCAGCCAAGGGGAGCAGCGACCTTTCTGCCCTAAACCCAAACCACCCCAGGGCAGGGTCCTACGTGCTAGAGATGGCTCCCAAGGACAGAATCACCCCACGGAAAATCAACATCCATCCAGGCAGATTTTTCCTTATTAACGTGCCCAATCTGGGGTGAAACAGCAACACCAAAGCTGTTGTGGGAGAGCATGGCAGCTGCAGGACCCACACAGGGCTACCCTGCCACCCAGGGCGGCTCTCCATCCCCAACACCTCTGTGTGCAGGATGCTCTTCCCTCTCCTCCGAGCAGGGACAGGGAGCTCCAGCTCCCCTGCTTTGGTGCTGCTCCCTA